GTGTTAGTCAAATAAACAGTGTGGTATGTTTTAAATGCTTTTAATCTTCCCATTCATCATCATCATCTTCGAAATCATCATCTTCTTCACAATCACTATCATCTGAAAGAAAAGTGAGAACAATTGTTTAATAAACACTCTAGTCAAAAACAAAAAAAATATATGTTTTACACCAAGCTGATGCTCTAATAAATAACTGTAATTTTGCCAATTTCCTGTTTAGCTACAACTAAAAAATGTCATAATTGGTAATAATGAATAGTACTATAGATTAAAACATCCATTTATAATACGGCATACAGTAAAACTAATAATAAGCTATTATATAATTACGATTATGGTATCTATACAGTATTCAATAGACAATTCAATTCAATTGTTCTATATTTAATAATTGTATTAAAATCAAATGAATATTTATAATACTGTATAATTACGATTATGGTACTCTATACAATATTCAATAGACAATTCAATTCAATTGTACTTAATAATTGTATTAAAATCAAATGAATATTTATAATACTGTATATAGTAACTAATACAATTCATTTTATTTGAAAATGTTGACTATTGATTACAAATATGAACTTGGGAGGGCCATCAGAAAATATTGTATATATTACATTTCAAATCTCATTTTATTACAAATAGCATAGAAACTAGAAGCAAGTAGTACCTTGAACACTTTTGTGATGTTAATGAAGGTTTGTGCAAGTAATAATACGAAGTTGAAAACTTGATCTATTATTTGCTTCTTTGAGTAAAAATGCTATTTGCTATGAAATGTAGCACACATAACAGCAATTATAAGCAGCAAAATACACAAAAATGCAAACGACGACATAATTATACAGGTCTCCCTCTATTAAGGACCACTTTTGAGACCAGAATTTCCACAGACTTTAGTAGCTTTGGACTCAAATTAGAATAAGTAAGATAACATAAATTTTTGAATTTGGGAACACAAAAAAGTGGGGTTTAATTGGAGGTGGTCGTTAACACGTTGGCTGCCAGCGACGAGTCTACTCGCCCACAGGGTGCTGCTGAGGGCGCCAGGGATGAGTATACTCGTCAAAATTGGGGTAACATTCTAGCGTTTATCACTTCTTTGTTATAAAACGTAGAACTAGACTCAACAGCTGGTAGTTCGGGGAAGATACACCTAGACGATAATGTACAAAATGACGTACTGTATGTATGTTTGTTGTGATAGTTCACTCGAGCGGCACAAGTGGTGGCGCCCTTTGAACATATTCCAACCCATGCAAAAGCGGATAAGATAACTGGCACTTGGCCTAGTCAATAAAACGTTCTGTCACAGTGTACATGTAAACTTGTTTTGGCACACGGGAAGGAACCTTAAAAGGTCTGGCAGTCAACGTGTTAATTGCAGGGATCATTAATTGGAGGGAGCCTTGTATTGTATTTTGAGAAAAATATAACTAGCACAAAATAGGAGCTAATAACAAACTAGGATTGATTCGTAAGTGAATTAGTAAGTGATATGCGCAGACAGCAGATGATACTTACCCATCAAGCATGTGTGGTAATGTTACATGATCAACTATAGTGAGACTGTGAACTGTCTCATGAAAAAGTGTCATAATTTTTCTGTTAGTAGTGAAAATATATACATTTCCAGTGGCAGGGACTTTCATAGATGGAGGGTCTACTGTACATGGTTGGGATGGAGGTACAAAAAATTATGATTATGTCACCTCTAGATGGCCGAAAATGGCACTCTCAGACATAAATTTGAAAATAATTTTCTTTTTCTATACATTTTCTTTAACTTACAAAAAAAAAATACAAGGACTGGGGAATGGGATGGCTTCCCCCTTCCCTTTTAAACCCGCCACTGATTTTGGTTTTTTTTTTTCTTTTATTATTACATTTTAAGATTTTTTTTTTTATTTCATCACAGAAAATATAATTTTACATAGAGCAGAAATTGTGGTTTTCTGTAATTATCACTAGCTTAAATGTATTTTAAAATCACAATTATTTGTTCTTGTTAATATGTTGGAAAAGTGAACATAAAAGAAATAACCATGAGAAAAAAAAAAACCCAATCATCAATAATTAATGGATTACCAAGAACTAATAATTTAACTATATTAATTGTGAGTTATAGCAGGCAAGTCCTATCAATGCATGCATTATTTTTTTGTGTTCAGTTAGTAGGGTGCCCTCAACCACTAATAG